CGATCCCACCTCTCCCCTGCCTTCTCTCTCTGCTATGCCGAGGATGTTAGGCAATGTCCTTCCACTGGACTACACTCTGGCCTTTTTTATTTTGAGACAAGCCTCTTGAACTTGTCATGCTCCTGCCTCAGCCTCCCACACAGCTGGGATTAGAGGCATGCGACCCTGTGCCCAGCCCAGAGTTTTCAAAGAGGATGAAATTAGAGGCATGGTAGTCCTGCCCCTCCGTGGAGTCATCCCTCTGCTTCCAGCTGGTGGAAGGTTTGGAAGTGTTGGCTGGTTATTAAACCAACTTACAGCGATTGGACTATTACTTACCATGTGCCAGGCACCATAGTGAGCACTTAATGTGCATTGTGTTTATGTCACTCTGTGCGGTATCACCTACATTTGTAGGGAAAGGAAGTGAGGTTTTAATTGCTTGTCACTTGCCCAAGGTTGAGAAGTAGAAATCTAGGAATACAAATCCAAGCTGTCTGTCGCCAAGGTTTGACCTGCCTATCACACCTCCTTTATTTTGTGTTTTTCACCTGAGACTTCAGGGAAAGGATGGAGGAAGAAGGGGAGACATAGTGAAGCAAAAGCAGCTCCAAACTCAAGCAGTCTCAGATGGGCATGGTGGCACATGCCTGTAATCCCATCACTCAGGAGGCTGAGGCAGGAGGATCACTATGAGTTCAAAGCCAGCCTGAACTACATAGTGAGACCCTGTCTCAAAGGAAATAAAATAACAACGGAAAACAAGCATCCTGAAAGGTCACATGAAGGACACACACACAGCTGGATTGTTTACCTTGTCTTTCATGCTTCACCTTCCCTGGACCCAAGGAAAATGTACCTGTTACAGGGTCTTCCGCCACACCAACCCACGGTGCAAAATATCTGGAGTAGAAGTCAAACGCTTGGGTCTGCCCAGCGAGCTCTCCTTTGAGTGTGACAATGAGCCCTTTCACCTTCTCTGCATTCTCCACCTGAGTCAGATTCGCCGTGTTCACTTTCAGGGTCTCCAGAAATGACCTGGTTCATAAAGGGGACGGATCAGGACAAACCGCTTCCCAGCCCTCCAGACACACAGAGTGTGGAGCAGCAGGGGCCACGCTGACAGGACGGCCAAGCAGGAGGACAGGGAGGAGCAGCCACACTAAACTCCTCCTGGGAAAGGACCTCCGCTGCCTGCATTATTCCCTGACTGCCAGCAACTTGTGAGACCAAGCCAGAGCAGAAATGTGGGGCTCGGACTCCCCGCAGTGCTGACAGGGTGGAAAATAGTGTTTACCTGTCGTAAGAATCACTGAGCCGGACAAGGAGCTTTTGAGTATCTGGAGAATAGCAGATGTCCTGGACCAGCGTGTCGCCTATGGCCAGCTGCGGACACAGAATAAAAACTCTTCAGGAGCACGCCCAGGTCAAATTCTTGAGCCCCTCCAACGGGGAAGGGCCTCTCACTGAGCACCCGCAAAGATTACAAGGTGGCTGTACCACCTTCACGAAGTGGCTGCAGAACCTGGAGGCAGAAGTGCATAAACTCCCATGGGCTGCACTCCCTCTGCCTTGGGTGGATGTGGGCTTCCTGCCTCTGTGACCATGAACTGGCCAGTGTCCCTCCTTAAGAACTGGAGATTCCTACAGCCAGATTCTATCTGCTCTCTGCAGACTTTCAGTCTCTGATCCTCCCTCTCTGGGTGAGTTCATATGTTACTTTGAAAGTTTATTTCTCAGCTGGAAATCTTAGTGCCAGTCTCTAGGGAGCAAGACAACACAACAGTCTTGATAAGGAACCCTTTATTGTGTCATTTTGCAAATGCTGACCCTGAAGCTTGAAGAGAGTAGGTTAGGTTCTTTCTGTCACAAGGTCCACGGTTACTAACCTTACCAATGTGCCTAAAGGAGTTTGTTCACTAATTTGGCTCTGAAACTCAAGTCATGAGCGGAGCTGGCTGCAAAATCAGAATCCAGGATGCTCATCTATGCTCTGAAAATGTAGAAAAAGCAAAGTACTAAAGATATTATAAATACCACAGTTGAAAATTCACGAGAAACTCCACAGACTCACAAGAGACCATTTTACAGAAGTGCTTTTTTCTCCTCACATCCCTTGCCCTGGGCCCTTCCTTCTCTGCACACTGAGCACCTGGGCATCCAGGGCTGCTCTGTGCTCGAGGCCCTGCAGGGGACAAGCGTAGCCTGCCTCACTGGGTGATGCTGAAAACTAAATGGGATAATGCAAGTGACATGCTACTGGACAGAGGATACTCTCAAAAATGTTCTCTGTTATTATTACATTTTTTCTTCGAGACAGGGTGTCACTATGTGGTGTGGGATGGCCTTGAACTCACTAGGTAACCCAGGTTGGCCTTGAACTTGAGGTGATCCTCCTGCTTCAGCCTCCCTAGTGATGGGATAACAGGTGTGCAGCACAATACCCAGACTTATTATCACTATTATTAAGGCCCATATCCGCATAAGGCCCCATGAGAAGGCCAGACCAGGCATCTCATCTTCTCCGGGAGGTACTCAGGCTTTCCTAGTCTCCTCTAACAAAGCACAGCCCTCCCAGTTCCAACCCATTCTCTGCCACAGAAACTGGGAACACCCAAGGCTGCCAGGCAGTCTCCAGTCTCCCCTCCACTTTGCTTGTATGAATTTCAGGGAATGAGTTTTTCTGCCAGAAATCCCCAACTCTCCTCCCTGATCCTGCATGGCCGAGCCCCGGGCCCACGTCTCTCCTGCGAGGTAGACACGGACAGAAGGTCAGCACCCTCGCACCATCTGAAGCTTGGTCTGCTCCCGGAGACTATCTCTCCTAGGATGTGCTGCTCTCTCTTCTTCGCCACCTCCTTTCAGCCTTCCTCCCTCAGCAGCCCCACAGCGGCCTCTTTTCCCCCAAATCACCAGAGTCTAACACAGACTTTGTTTATCTTTGTAGCTGGCGACGGAGCCCAGGGCCTCACACATGCCAGAGTTCTCTACACTGAGCCACACACCTAAGAGACCTAAGGCTGACAAACATCAAGGAAAAGCGGTCGATCTTCTCACCAAATAAACAGAACATTAGAATTCAAAGCTGAAATCTCCGGGCAGTGTTCATCTGAGCTTCTGTTCGAACATTTCTACTGGGTAACAGGCCTATCTTTGGGATTCAAATCACAACAAACCTTTGTGTTCAAACAATAAGAAATGACCAAATCCCACAGGCTCAGATTCGAGTCTTTTCACCCACCTTTATCAAGTTCTCCACTTCGTGGAATTCCTAGAAGGGGAAAAAGACAAAATCATTATAAAACAGGTAAGCAGTTGGTTGTACACAGCCGGGGCAATAACAAGGGAGAGCTGACCTTGGGCTGGGTTGGGTAGAGAGGCAGGTCCAGGATGATCCCATCTTCGGCTCTTCTGGCCTTTAGTTCCCCACTCAGAGTGACAAAGGTGAGGGTGCTGTTGATGTTTTCTGTCCAGAATATGAAGATAAACGTTGTGACACGTGTGCCTGTCTGTTTTCTTGAGATTTTCTGACAGCGCTGTCTTCCCCTGTGACAGGGGCCCCGCTGTGGGTTGCTGGTGTCTAAAGTGGAGAAAACCCTCCCTGGATTCTAACTTGGGGACTAAGAATGCAACTGGTCAGACGTGGTGCTGCCCTCGAAAGGTTTATACCTCCACTCCCGGTGCTCACTAACTATGCCTTCAGCACAAGACTTCCTTAGCCTCCTCTCACTTCAGTTTTCTGACCTATAAAACAAGGTCATTAATTAAACCCACTTTGTACAACTGTTACGATGTTTTCTAAGCAGCTTTTTAAATATCTACCAACAATAACCATAGAGTTACAAACTCTATTAGTTCAAGATATGCCTGGGGATGAAGACACACATGATTTGTTAAAAGTCTTACGTGAAACAGATCAGGTTTCTCCTGAGCAAATGAAGCTACAGATAAGAATTTGATTCGAGTTCCACACAGGCTGATCTAAAATCCTTCCATGTAACTGATACACCTTTGACCATTTATCTGACCTCAGTGCGTGTAATGTTTTTTAGTGAAAATAACAAGTTGTAATCTTTTACTCTCCCATCACATTTCTGTAAAATATTCTTCAAAGAATTACTATTATCAAGAAATCAAATCATGGGGGCAGGGGATTTAGCTCAGTGGTTCCAGTGCCTGCCTCACAAGCACAAGGGCCGGAGTTCGATCCCTGGTACCAAAGAAAAAAAAAAGAAATCAAATAGTAACAAGTTCTGGCGAGGCTGTGGGGGATAAAGCAGCCCTTCTACACTGTCGGTGTGAGTGTAAACTAGTGCAACCACTAGGAAAATCAGTGTGGAGATTCCTCAAAAAACCAAAGCTAGAAATTCCATTTGACCCAGCTGTTCCCCTTTTAGGTGTAAACATCACTTATAGTGACCCATGCATACCCATGTTTACCGTAGCACAACTCATAATAGCTGAATCTTGGAAATGATCTCTACATCCATCAACAGATAAGGGAGAGGGGAAAGGGAAAGGGACATAAAAAGACTTTTGATGTGTTGAGTATATGGACCAACTTCCCACAAGGAATGCCATCGTTATGTACTAAAATCATGATAAAAATTGAAATTAAAAAAATTTAAAGAGTAGATTAGAATTTTTTAAATATTTGCAATTTCTAAGTGATGGGTTTGTTAAAGAAATTCATATTACTTATTTTGTAAAACAGCACAGCTGCAGAAGCCAGGGTGGCGTGACCACAGAGTGGGACCTCACTCGCTGGTGTGAACCACCTCAGTCCGAAGCAGGAACCTTCAGAGAGAAAAGCCAAAGGGACAAGGTCACTCCCCCGAAGGCAGCCCGCAATGTTCCGTTTTCCTCTTCTTCCCTAAATACTGTATTTCTATAGCATGATTAGCAGCAAAATATGATGTGAAAGGGTGCACACAGGCTAGACAAGCATCCCAGGGCAACTGGCGTTAGGTTTGGAGCTGAAATATCCAGGTCATCGACACCCTCAGAGTCCGTTTTGTATGGCTATAACAGGGCACTATAGACTGGGTAATGGATGAGCAGAAATTTAGCCAGGCGTGGCGGCACACGCCTGTAATCCCAGCACTTGGGAGGCTGAGGCAGGAGGATTACTATGAGTTCGAGGCCAGCCTAGAATCTGTACTGAGACCTTGTCTCAAAAAAAAGAAGGAGAAGGAGGAAGAGGAAAAGGGCGAAGGAGGGAGGGAGGAGGAGGAGGGCACTTTATTGCTCAAACAGGTGAGCAAGGGGGGGCTGAACTTGCTTCTGTAAGATGCCTACGCTCAAGCTAACCAACCCACTTCCAGAATAACGACTGAATCCATCACCTCTCATCAGGTCTTTCCTCCCAACTCTGCACTGGGACTAAGTTTCCAATACATGAATTTGGGGAGACACATTTAAATCACCACACACCCTCTTCCCCAGACGAATTGAAACCCACGCTCCCTACCACCTACATGCAAAGTATAAAGGAGCATTTGCCTTAAATATCACTCCTCCACCTGAAAGATAACTCCTGGTGTCATCCAAGACTGGGTTAAAACAAAATGCATATTTACTTTGTGTAAAGTTGTCTGTTGGGTGCAGTTTTCGAATAAAAGCAGTTTCGGAGAGGTTCATTTCCTGCGCAATTTTTTGATGCATGTCTTCATCCAGTTTCTTAATGAGAAACAAAAGGTTATTGAGACTAAATAAACACAGATCAGACTTCCTTGGACAGTAACTACTATTAGGTAACACCGTAGTTTATTAATAGTCAAAGTTATATGCTTAAATCGGGTGAGGCGGCACACACCTGTAATACCAGCACACACCTGGGGAGGCCAAGGGAGGAGGATTGTAATTTCAGGGCCAGCCTGGACAACCTGAGAAGATACTGCCCCTAAATAAAGCTTAAACGGGCTGTGGATATGGCTTAGGAGTAAAGGCCTTTCCTAGTATGCATGAGACCTTGCGTTCAACCACAACGCCAGAAAAAAAGAGGAGGAGGAAAAGGAGGAGGAGCAGGAAGGAGAGGAAGAAGAAAGGGGAGCTTAGAGCCCATGCAGTGGCACACCTATAGTCCTAGTACTTGGGAGGCTGAGGCAGGGAGGATCCCCTGAGCCAAGAGTTTGAGTTCACCCTGGAGAACATAGCAAAACTCCACAATGGGGATAGGGGGGCTCTCCCAGTGTCAAAAATGGTAGTGAATCTAGATGTATGGTATACGGATGTTCACTGTAGCATCCTTAAAACTATTCTGTAGGCTTTTAATTTTTAAAATACATGTTAAAAACCTAATCATGGCTTTAGAAACAAACCAAATTGGATTTATACCCTGGGTCAGCCTGTAGTAGCAGTGCAAGTGCAATCCACGTCAGTAGATGGAGCTGCACCTTTAAAGGGGGATAAGAATAGCACCTCAATCAGTGTTCCTTAGTGAACACAAACATACACACTCTTCCACACGTATGTGCACGCTCCTCTTAAGACAAAAGTTGCTTGGAAATATGGGTTTTCCTTTTGCACATTTCTCTTAAGACAAAAATCAGAAATATGAGCTTTCCTTTTGAAACTGAATCAGATTTTGCGTTGTTTTTGGAGGAGGTTCACTTTTTGGTTTGGGTTCAGGTGTTTTTTTGTTTTTTGTGTTTTTGTTTTTTTTTTTTTTTTTTTG